ATCGACTGGGTTTGCCCGGATGTTCCGGACCGTCACAAGTTTCCCCTCATCATTCAAGACAACATGCCCATCGGTGACGATGTTGGACGGTGACAGGTATCGCCCCTGGGACCAGGGATTCCAGGGCTTCAGGTTGCCAGGAAGGACAGGCCTCTTAAACAGCACTCGTTGCCCGAAGTAGGCCGGAGGTGATGTTCCCAGTACTCGGTGTTGATGCAAGGAAGCAGCATACTGCATCGCCGAGGGCCAATGGATGACAGGGAGATCTGCACTGCTCAGGAGCGTGCGCGCCCTCTGTTTACTCCATCCCACGATCCTCTCGGCGAGTCCGTTCCCCTTATGGTCGTGAGGCTCGGACATACTCACACGGATGGAGCGCTTAGAACACCATTCCTTCAACCCTTCGGAGAGGAATTCTCTTCCTTGGTCGGTGTGCAAAGAACGAACGGGTAGACCGATGCGCTCTATTTCGGAGATGATGGAGTGGATGGCAGGCAGGATGGCCGTGAAGTGTTTCGAGGGAATCGGGCGGACAAAACGAAGGACGGTTTGAGGTACAGGGCTTTCCAGCTGTTTGACAGTCGTTCGCAAGGCCTCTTCATCCCACAGACCCCCTTCCTCCTCCTCTTCAACTTCCACGGTCACGGTATCCAAGGTGGATGATATCTCAGGCGCCCCTTCCTCCTCCTCTGGCCAGGAGAAAACGTCTTGGACTTCCTCCTCCAGACGGTGGTCCTCCTCGGCAGGACTGACATCATGCTCAGGAATTGGAGGGATTCCTCGAAGGTCCTTGCCCTCCTTGGCCATTTGATCAAGCAGATCCTTGGCGAAGAGATCCTCGATGGATTTCCTGGCGCCGATCCAGCCTCCCTTCTCCAAAAGCTCCGACGGTGCCCTGTAGGCCGCCACCAAGGCATATCTGTGTCGAGGTCGGGAAGCGATACAATCTTCCGAGAGCCCCTTCTCGGGCAACGGACCGAGAAGGTCACAAGACAAGGCAAAAGATGCCGGGGCCTTAACCTTCCGATGTTGGAGGCCAACCCCGCTCCCGAGGATGCACGCCTTGCAGTCGCGGCGATAGGGGAGGTGGCCGCTCAAGATGTGTTGACGCCACTCCTCCTCTTCCTTGCTCACGGCAGCAGCAACAGGTGCTTCGGAAGGTTCCTGGATTTGTCGTCGGGCCTCAGTAATGGCCTTATCAATGCTCTCAAGCTCTCCAGGACGCAAAACATCCGACGGTGGCAGGAAAGCTCCGGCAATGCAAGCTCTCACCTCGGCCTCAACCTTGCAGGAATCCAGGGATGGTATAGCGCAGTTGGAAGCAATCACAGTGCCGGTGTGTGGCGCCTCTCTTGTTTCAAGGCCACCGGTCCAAGTAGCGAACCGGTTCCACGCCTCAGTCGTGAAGGGTTTGGCCGACGACGACATCACCGCCAACGGAACCGTGTAACCCCTAACAACAGACGAAAGGGTCCACAACCACTGCAACAACGGGACCAGGCTGAGATTGGGGCCAAGCTCACCCTCTACCCCAGCAATTCGACCATGGACGGCGGCCCACAGAAGAATCTGAGCGATGCTGTTTCCAGGAGTCAGGGCCTCGCGGTGCTGCTTGCTCAGGTTGATGGTTACTATGGGAACCCCCCTTTGATTACACCAAGTATCCAAAGGATCGTCCCCGAAGTCTTGCCTAACAAACCTTAGCACCCAGTCCTTAGAGCTCTCTAGCGTTCGCCTAGTTCTCCTTGGCAGCTGAAGGGCCTTTAGGACGTGTCGCACATGGTGGCTGTGGATGGGGAGGTTGGCTCCCAGGAGAGGAAGGTGCTCCTTCGCAAAGAGGCCTGTTGCCGTCGCAGCTTGCAGCAGCTCAACCCTGGAACCAGTTTCCCTAGCTTCCTTGACCCTAGCCTTTAGTGGCTTCGGTGCACTTAAACCTCTTAGGATGGCCTGAAGCTCTTCCACCTCAGTGTTGAACTTCGCCAGCTTAGCTTCTTCAAGCTCATGGATGAGCTCCAAAGCTCTGGTCTCTGCCAAGATCGGACAACCCTGGCGGACACGAAGCGGGATCTTCCCATGAAGCGGATGCACCAAGGTGGCCTTCTTCCCAGACCATGTCAAAGAGCATCCTAGCTCCTGGATCAAAGCTCCAACCGGGACGATGGGCTGCGATCCCGGCTCAACCAGGATGGTTCCGGAGGAATTTTGCTCCATCACCCTCGTCACCCCTCCGGCCAAAGTGACCTCAGTGCGAGACGTGTTGGTGTCCTTAGGCTCTCGAGAACGCATGGGGTGCGAGGCTCCGGAGTCCAGCAAGCCAGTCCTTTCACCCTGGTCTACCTCGCAAGGCGAGGGGTCAGTGCTTGCTACCTGTGCAGTTCTGATGTTAGGCTGTCCATCAGGGATCGCCTGGCGGATCGCATCGAGGTGGGCCTGAAGGGTCGCAACCGAAACAGGAACCCCTTGGGCGACAGGAGCTTGCGACGCTGATGGAATGGGCTGTGCTTCAACGACAGGTACCCCGGAGGGTTCCTTGGGCTGGATTGCCTTGAGAACCTTGGCAGCATCCTCAAGGAGAGCTGTGACGTGGTTGGCATTGGGCGAGGGAGCTGCAGCCTTCAACTCAGGTCCCTTTGGTGGAGGTGAGGTCTTAGGGTTCTTGGGAGGTGGACCCCCGGCCCTTCCGGCTTTGCTGTTCGGGCAATCCACCTTCCGGTGATTTCTTCCTCCACAAGCCATACATCTTTCACTACGCTCATTCGCAGGAATCTCCTTCCACTCGTGCAAGTCTTGGCACCTTTCCCCTTTACGGCAACCCTGACCCTGCAGAAAGAACCGACACTTATTCCCTGTGGAACCAGGCTGTGGCGGAGGACTCTTAGGGTTAACCGTCGGGAGTCCTGGGGCAGGGTTCTTAGGGTTCCCCTTTCCTTTAGGGCCTGGTGCTTGCGAAGACGATGCTGGAGCTGTCGGGTTATCCACCGCTGCAACCTGAGGAGGGGGCGCCTTGGCCTTCGGAGTGACCCTTCCGAGCGCTTCAACCTCGGCAGTAAGGGCAGCATGGAGCTGAACGACCGACTCCTGGCTTGGTGCAACCTCAACCTTCAAGGCGGCTCGAACCAGATTAACCCTAAAGAGAGCTTCGGGAGCCCCCTCAAGCACACCCTTAACTATCGTATTTAGGGCCTTTACAAGGATCACTGGATCAGGAGTGGTTCCTCCCAAGGCTTGAGTTCGCAGTAGCCAACGCTTCCACTTCCGGAGGACTTCAGTGGCTTGGTGCGGCGATGATGCTTGCACAGGAGATTGAAGGAACTGAATCCCCTGCTCTCGTTCCGAGACTCCACCAGGGGCATACAGAGAATACAGTCGGCAGATGATCCCCAGAGGAGTTTTGATCCTCCCTGCCACGAGTTCTTCCTTGACGGACTTTGGGCAGGCTGCAATTAGGAGCGACTCCAACCTTTTTGCCAACCTGGACCATCTTACATCCTGGAGTTCGTAACTCGGGACAGGGTTTAGAGTCAAACGGGTGACAGGATCGGCCGATATGTATCCAGCGTACCATCTCTCTGCTTCCTTGCACAAGCATGCCCAATAGTCAGCCGATGTGCTGGACATGTCCTCCACACAGGGCGCGCAAAGGTGCAACCAATCCATGAATGCCAACGATGCCTCAGCCCCAATTTCAGGCAACTTAGGAAGTTCCTGCCAATGGTACTTGACCTGCTCGGCACTCGTGGGTGAACCTTCACTTCCCCGCAGGACAGCTTGCAGGCCTTGCAGTAAGTTCGTGACCTCAGGACTCCTAGCGTTTGCATCTTGGATCGGGGAAACTGCTGCACCTGGGCTTGGCACGCCTTGGACATGCTCCAAGGGCTTCGTACCCCGAGCTGCGACCGAGGGAAATGCTGCACCTGGACCTGGCACGCCTGGGACTTGCTCCAAGGGCTTCGTACCCCGAGCTGCGACCGAGGGAAATGCTGCACCTGGACCTGGCACGCCTGGGACTTGCTCCAAGGGCTTCGTACCCCGAGCTGCGACCGAGGGAAATGCTGCACCTGGACCTGGCACGCCTGGGACTTGCTCCAAGGGCTTCGTACCCCGAGCTGCGACCGAGGGAAATGCTGCACCTGATGCACCTGGCACGCCTGGGACATGCTCCAAGGGCTGCATCCCCTGAGCTGCAATCGAAAGAAATGCAAAGCCTGATGCACCTGGCACGCCTGGGACATGCTCCAAGGGCTGCATACCCTGAGCTGCGACCGAGGGAAATGCTGCACCTGATGCACCTGGCACGCCTGGGACATGCTCCAAGGGCTGCATACCCTGAGCTGCGACCGAGGGAAATGCTGGCACGCCTGGGACATGCTCCAAGGGCTGCATACCCTGAGCTGCGACCGAGGGAAATGCTGCACCTGATGCACCTGGCACGCCTGGGACATGCTCCAAGGGCTGCATACCCTGAGCTGCGACCGAGGGAAATGCAAAGCCTGGGCCTGGCACGCCTGGGACATGCTCCAAGGGTTGCATGCCCTGAGCTGCGACCGAGTGATGTGCATATCCTGACAGACCTGGAACGCCTGGGAAGGATGCTGGACCTGGCACGCCTGGGACATGCTCCAAGGGCTGCATACCCTGAGCTGCAATCGAGGGAAATGCTGCACCTAAGGAACCTGGCACGCCTGGGACCTGCTCCAAGGGTCTCGTACCCTGAGCTGCAACCGGGGGAAAACCTGCGCCTGGTTGGTTGAGGGTTTGCCGAGGACCCGAACCCAATCCCTTGAAGTTCTCACCCAACCAACCCCAAACCTTACCTACTGTGCTAGTTCTCCATGACTCCCGTTCTGCTACAGCTACAGCATTAGCGAGACGGTCCCTTAGGAACTCATTCTCTAGCTAGTCCCTGTACAAGCGCACTATGCTCTCTTCGCATGACCTCCAGCTGTCGATGCACTTCGGCCTGAACGGCCCCACTGCTCACACCAGCTGAATCCGACGACTCAGGCCTTCCAGCTTCTCTTCCAGGACTCCCAAACCCAGAAAGCAAAGGCGCCTCGCGATTCATCGTCTCAATCTGGCTCAGGACTTCAGGTGGAAACAGTGGCTGCTGCAACATCACCTCGGCTGGAGCGGGGGGAGGCCCACGTGGTGGAGAGGGAGACCTCGAATCATCCCGTGACCCATCCCAGCCAGCACTCAGATACGTTTCCACTTCCCCAGACTCTCCTCCTTCGTTCAGAGGAGGTCGGGAAGCCATAGCAGGGTGTCCAGCGGCCACCTGCACCGCTTGCCAGATCTGTCCTACAGCTCGCCGTGCACTCTCCAAAGGTGTTTCGGGTAGTTCTGAACTGTTGTTGCCTGCTCCAGGGGGCAAACCGGTATCTGGGGCCTCGCCCCCATCGGTTGCCGCCCTCAGGTCATTCACAACCTCCAAAGGTGTAGCTGTACCACCACCTCCAGAGCCAGGGATGGACCCCTGCTGCAGATCATTGCCAGATCTGCAGCCGGAGGCCATCCTCGTGTCCTGCGGCAAACTGCTCCCAGCATCCAAGCCCACACCACTTGTAGACCCAGCTTCAGAAGCAGCCCCATAGCTTGGCGCCACCGACGACTGGTGCCCGCGACCATTCATCAGAGGCCCTGTAGCGGAGCCCCGCACCGCCGAAGCGGATTGGGCACTCATAACCTGTTGATGGCTCAAACAGGTCCCCAGCGAAGAGCACCCCTTCGATGTGGACTGAGTCCTCCTCCGAAATCTCGAACCTTGTATTCTTTGCCGAAGAAAACCTCCGAAACTCCAATCGCCCAAAGTCTCCCAGACTGCACAGCGCAGAGCGGCCTATGGCTTTTCTCTCAGCAAGCGAACACGCTCGGACTCAGAAGAGAAGAAAGAACAAAAGCAAGCTGACAAGTGCTATACAAAGCCAGACTTACAAATCTTTCTTGAAAGCTATGTGTTTGTGGTGCATGCAGCCCCTTCCTAGCACATCCCTACTGAGTGCTTCAAGCATGTTCGGGTTATGTGCTCGTGCTGCATGCCTTTGAACCACAAGTCGGAAAAGAAGAAGCGAAGCACCTGGGCAAAGGGCTCGTGGAGGGTCTGGACATTCAACACTCCTCCTTGAAAAAGCCGCCAGGCGCCTTTCACTACTACCCATTTCGTGTCTTCCTCCCGAGACAATGCCTACAAGGAGTCTTCGCAGTAACACCCAAGGTTTGATGGAGGCCGGCACGACAATGGATATCATCATGGATAGTCTTCCCTTTGGGAGTCATGTATGCATGCTCGTCAACCCCAAAGACAAGGACAGGCTCAGTTTGAACCGCAACCGAAACCCCCCTAACACCCCTCTCAACCCCGGCATGGCGCACAGGCGAGGTACCCTCGGCAGGGCGGGCAGGCGTTGGAGGAAGTGGATGAGGCGGCGGAGGTCGTGGAACAGGAGCGCGAAGCCATGGATTATCCCCAGATGCACAGGCAGAGCCCTGAGGTGAATCACACGGCGGCGGGGGCGGAGGCGTTTGTTTTCGCCTGTGTCTCCTCCTTGCTTGCATCTCGATGCTTGTGGTGGATGATGTGTCAGGGGATGGCAATTCCCTTTCAAGGGCTTGAGCAACAGCTCGCTGCAGCTTCTCTTCCCGGCGGGAAAGGGCTTTGACTACGGGCCTGGCCTCAACCCTACGGTAAACTCCCCTCCCTACACCCTTTAGGCATTCCCAAACCCCAAGTGCAGCTATCACTACAACCACTAGTGCAACATACAGCCATGTGTCATCCGAGACCCCGGGCGGATCCTCATGCACAAGTGGTGGTGGAGGCGGAGGTGCTTGGCCTTCATGCTGCTCTTGACCGTAAATCACCCCAGCATACGACATCAGCAATGCCACCCATGCTGCTAGACCTTGCGAACACCCAGAACCCTGGAGGCATTGCACACTGGCGGTTGGCTCCTCACTCTCCCTTGTCAAGCCTATCAGTATGCTCAGGTCTCTCAGGCGAGCACTCGAAAGAGCCTTAGTGAGGATATCGGCACACTGAATGTCCCCCGGACAGTGGGATAGGGACATCCCCTGCTCGACAAGTTGGCGCAAGGCAGCTGCGCGTACCTTAAGGTGTCTTGTCCTCTGGCTGGACGACCCCTCCGCTCGGGCAATAGCGGCGGTAGAGTCACAACGGAGGTGAAGTGGCGACATGTCATTGGTGACATCCTGAAGTGAGGCAAGGAAGGATTGGCCCAAGATAGCCCCTTCGCTTAGGGTCTGGAGTTCCGCTTCCGCCGTGGAGACGGAGATTAGGGGCAACTTGGTGGCTTTCCAAAACACCGTGGCTCCCCTGTACTTAATTAGTACCCCACCGAAGCTGTGAGCTCCTTCCGGAGCGAAGCTTGCATCAGTGAAAACCTGAACACCTCCATGGGGATCGGAAACCCTAAGTTCCAACCGGACATGCTTCGTGGCTGCGAGGAACTTGAGGAGGCGCTGGCCTATTTCGCAAACCCTTTCCGGACATTTCGAGGTGTTGCAGCACATGGTGTGCACCAGGTAGGAAATATCTGGCCTGCTGCGTTGACTGATCCATAGCAATTCTCCTGTGATTTTCTGCGCACGCTTCAGGGCATCAGCGCCTGCAGGTTCGTTTGGAAAATCATGGAGGAGTTCCTTCGGGCATGCAACCAAGCTAGGGTGACCAGAAAACCCATGCGCGTGCAACACTTCCTCGATGTAGGCAGTCTGCTCCAGGGAGAAGCCCGGCTCCTTGCCGGGGGCCTTGGGCAGTGGTCGTATGTTCACCCCAAGGAACTTTAGGGGCTCCTCCTCAGTTGCCTGCTTAAGTGGATCCAGTTCCCAATGCAAGGATGTCCTGATGTAGTCGTAGATGGCTCGAGCTCTTGACTTTGTCGTGAGAAAGAGCACGTCGTCGACGTAGAGGATCATCAGACCCAGCGTCTCACCCCCCACCCCTTTGATGCGAAGGATGTTAGCATCGACCTGGCCCTGTTCCAGGGTTAGGAGCTCCCCTGTGGTCGGATCCACTGTCTTGACCCCCTTCAAAGCCTGGTCGCGGTATTCGGACCACCATCGTGGACTCTCCCTTAATCCGTATATTGCTTTACGGACAACCCAGTACTCGCCCTCCTCGGCGAGGGCTAGGTCCCTCAGGATTTGCGGAGGCCTCAAGATGTATTTTCGTCCCTTCGCCTGTGATCCTAAAGGTGCAAGGAGGAACGCTGTGGCCACATCGGTGCCATAGGCACCCCACTGGTTGTGGGATGCCTCGACGAGCGCGGCCCGCAGGTCCTTCGACGGCCACGCCGAGCGGTAAAAGGTCCGTCGGCGTCCGTAAAGCCGAAATTCATTTCCGCAAGCGACAAGCCGAGCCTTTCGACGGTAGGGTTCGTCCTGTTTTCCCGGCTTCACTGTACATACTCCCTTGGCGTGGAGCACAGTGCTTTCAGGATCATTAAGCAACTCAGCTGCCCTTTTCCCGGAAACCCTTTCTCAATCCGCACCCCGTTGCCAACAAGTGACCAAGTTTCCTTCTTGAAGCCTGAAAAAAATACCAACGATGCTTTATTGCGCCGACCTCGGCAGGTGCCACTGGAGTGGTTCGGAGGCCTTCCTTGCAGAGCTTCCGCCTCCCTCCTGTCAAGACATGTGGCACCTGGTCTACCTCTTTAGGAAACTGAACACCTTGCTGAAGGATGATGTAGGCAGGCGAAAGCAAGGCAGCTGGGATCCGGCTCGAACATGAGGAATGCGCATTGGCCAGAGGGGGTTCTTCAAGGTCTTCGTGGTCATGCAGGGCCATTCGGATCACCGGAGTCTCAAGCGTTGACTCCTCCTGGGCTTCCTCATCAGGGTGACGGTCTGACAGGCCCAGGACATCACAGCGGTGTCTGGCGAAGGTTCTCAGGGCCAGGCGAGCGACGATGGGATGCAACCCATTCCGATTCCAAAAGTACCCCCGAACCATATCATCGAACGTGTTGTTGGCATATTCGATGTCACTAGGTCGCGCCACCAAATCCGCCTCGGAACCAAGCTCCTCAGCAAGTCGCAGAACCTCAAGCGGAATTGGGGTCCACTGCTGGATCTCATCGAATGCCTCTTGGGCCGGTGCTTCGATGATAGCTGGTGTCACCCGAGGATCTGGTCGTCCTTCTGGCGGTTCGGACGACCCGGCCGTGGCATCATCAGAAACATTGGAAGCTCGTTCCTCCGCTGCTCTCTGATGCCTTCTTTGCCGGATCTCCTGGATGAAGGTAGGTCGTGAACCATTTCCTCCAATGGCTCGTACCCCAGCCTGAGCCGGGGTCGCAGGTGTTGGACCACTAGGACGTGCATCAGTGGTGGGCCCTTGCTCAAGATTCCGCAGAACCAACTCACGGAAAAGTCTGGTTTCCACGTGAGACCAGCCTTCCTCCAGCAAGTCTTCTGGGTACACATAAAGCATGTCCCTTGCAACCTCAACTCCCAAGGCCTCTAACCCCTCTACTCGGTGTTGGAGGTTTAGGGTAACCAGGGCCCTAACTAAGTCGGGGTCATTGATGGCACCAAGCCTGTCAGGTAGCTCGATGCCCTCTTCAGGAGTTGAGCCAAGCGAGGACACTTGAATCGAGGCTTGGGTGGAACCTGTTCCCGATATGCCAGAGGTAGCGGCACTGTCGCCTTGCAGGTCGGAACCAAGTTCTCCCGAGCTCGAGGATGTCCCTCCTCCCTGGATCATTGCAATCCTCACCGGTGAGGGCACAGGGAACCCAAAACCTTTAAGGGCATCAGAAAGGTCACGGTCCCATCCCAGTGGTGTGAAACCCGCAACGACCCAATCTGAACTTGCAGGCACGGCATGCCACTTTCTGGCATTGAAGGTGACAGCCCCTTCTAGAAACTGAACCTCCCTCCCGGCTAAAACCCTTTCGGAAGTAACCTTGACCTCGCTTTCCTCTTGCTTTCCTCCTCCAAAGACCGGGTTAGAGTCTTGAGTACTCTCAGCCCACAAGGTAGGGCACTTCACATGGACGGCATGGTTCCAAGACCCAATCTCGTTTTGAAGGTCACGATGAGGAGAGACCTCTCGCGCGCGGAACACAGCAAGGGCAACCCATGTGGGAGGAGTTCCGGACGGATGCTCGCAGTCTCCGAGAGAGTGTTGCAGAAAGGCATTGAGGTATCGGGTAAGCTCGGGCCTCTCCCCTGTCGCCAAGGTAATCCCCTTGTTGATGGACCCCTAGCATAAGCCCCAAAGGTGCAACCCGAAGCAACGCCCCGAATCCTTTGATGGTTGGCGGAGGGACGAATGTTGAGGGCCTCATCCAGGAGGGCAGCGACTTCACCAGGAGAGAAGGACAAGGCTTCTCGCAGGCTTCTTGCTCTCTCTTCTAAGGGCTGAACAACCGTGATGCGTTTAGCCATCTTGGTCTTGCCAGTAATCTTCCTTCTAGGCGCAGGGACAGGAGGCTCCGCTGGATCTGTGCTAAGGTGAAGTGGGTCAGGGCGAACTCTAGGGCCTTCGGCAAAGGGACTTGGTTGGTCGACCTCAGGTGGCTCTTCGGTTCCCATCATAACACCCGGAGACTTACCTACAACCCGATGCGCAGGCTCCTCTAACCCCTTACTATCAGGGAGCGGCAGCAGCTCGACCTCAGGCGGCTCTTCAACCCCTATCCTTACACCCGGAGACTTACCTACAACCCGAGGTGGCTGGCTCTTAGTTCCATCAGGACAAGGAAACTCTTCCGGGCTCAGTGGTGCAGGCGGCGGCTCTTCAACCCCTAACCTAACACCCGGAGTCTTTCCTACAACCCGGCGTACTGGTGGTTGGTATCGTTCTTCGGAGGGCTCTGTTGGCACGACATATGAAGGAATGTCGTCTTGCTTGGACTCGGACCCAAAGTCGGCAGCAACGCCAGGCATATCCAGGACTTCTTTCTCGGGATCGACTGGGTTTGCCCGGATGTTCCGGACCGTCACAAGTTTCCCCTCATCATTCAAGACAACATGCCCATCGGTGACGATGTTGGACGGTGACAGGTATCGCCCCTGGGACCAGGGATTCCAGGGCTTCAGGTTGCCAGGAAGGACAGGCCTCTTAAACAGCACTCGTTGCCCGAAGTAGGCCGGAGGTGATGTTCCCAGTACTCGGTGTTGATGCAAGGAAGCAGCATACTGCATCGCCGAGGGCCAATGGATGACAGGGATATCTGACTGCTCAGAGCGTGCGCGCCCTTGTTTCTCCATCCCACGATCCTCTCGGCGAGTCCGTTCCCCTTATGGTCGTGAGGCTCGGACATACTCACACGGATGGAGCGCTTAGAACACCATTCCTTCAACCCTTCGGAGAGGAATTCTCTTCCTTGGTCGGTGTGCAAAGAACGAACGGGTAGACCGATGCGCTCTATTTCGGAGATGATGGAGTGGATGGCAGGCAGGATGGCCGTGAAGTGTTTCGAGGGAATCGGGCGGACAAAACGAAGGACGGTTTGAGGTACAGGGCTTTCCAGCTGTTTGACAGTCGTTCGCAAGGCCTCTTCATCCCACAGACCCCCTTCCTCCTCATTTTCAACTTCCACGGTCACGGTATCCAAGGTTAATGATATCTCAGGCGCCCCTTCCTCCTCCTCTGGCCAGGAGAAAACGTCTTGGACTTCCTCCTCCAGACGGTGGTCCTCCTCGGCAGGACTGACATCATGCTCAGGAATTGGAGGGATTCCTCGAAGGTCCTTGCCCTCCTTGGCCATTTGATCAAGCAGATCCTTGGCGAAGAGATCCTCGATGGATTTCCTGGCGCCGATCCAGCCTCCCTTCTCCAAAAGCTCCGACGGTGCCCTGTAGGCCGCCACCAAGGCATATCTGTGTCGAGGTCGGGAAGCGATACAATCTTCCGAGAGCCCCTTCTCGGGCAACGGACCGAGAAGGTCACAAGACAAGGCAAAAGATGCCGGGGCCTTAACCTTCCGATGTTGGAGGCCAACCCCGCTCCCGAGGATGCACGCCTTGCAGTCGCGGCGATAGGGGAGGTGGCCGCTCAAGATGTATTGACGCCACTCCTCCTCTTCCTTGCTCACGGCAGCAGCAGCAGGTGCTTCGGAAGGTTCCTGGATTTGTCGTCGGGCCTCAGTAATGGCCTTATCAATGCTCTCAAGCTCTCCAGGACGCAAAACATCCGACGGTGGCAGGAAAGCTCCGGCAATGCAAGCTCTCACCTCGGCCTCAACCTTGCAGGTTCAAGGCCACCGGTCCAAGTAGCGAACCGGTTCCACGCCTCAGTCGTGAAGGGTTTGGCCGACGACGACATCACCGCCAACGGAACCGTGTAACCCCTAACAACAGACGAAAGGGTCCACAACCACTGCAACAACGGGACCAGGCTGAGATTGGGGCCAAGCTCACCCTCTACCCCAGCAATTCGACCATGGACGGCGGCCCACAGAAGAATCTGAGCGATG